CGATCCCTTTCAGATCATGTCGTTCATTTGCACTCCTTCAGTCTACTTCCGATGCTTTCATTGACGTACGTACTGCATGCAGGCTAGATTTATGGTACAACAATACTAAACTCTATTCCTTCCTCCCTCAGGCACAAACCAATCTGACACTCTTGAACGCTGTCATTTGGGGAACATGCAACACCATGACTGCATTTGATCAATGCAAGCTCAACATGAATTGGTTTGCGGATAGTCTCAAAACGTCTTGTGAGCAGGAGCTGAAGGAGCAGAATATTATGGCGATGCAAACTCTCACAGGTCAGCAAGCATGGGCATTCTCAAAAATTCTTTGACACTTACAGGCATCTTTCTTGTTTCATTCTGTTCCTTAGGTCTACAATCATACCAGATCATGCACGACACGGGATGTCTCATCGATCCCACCACCAATAGTTACTGCTACCTCAACGCAGTCAGACAGACCAATCCCACGGATTTGTATTACTACAACATCCCCCTCGGCACACCTCTTCCTCAGTCTCCGTCAACCAAACTGAGCTGCTCTTCGTGCTCGAGGTCTGCCATGGGTCTTTACGCGGGTGCGCTGAAGGACTCGTCACAACCGGACCTATCAGCGCTCAAAAAGGCTTACAACCCCTCCGCCGACTTCGCCGCATCACAATGCGGTGCTGACTTTGCGAACGGTATTGTCAGCAGCGCTAAGAGTTTCAAGTTTGACGGTGCGGTGTCTATACTTCTACCGGCGCTGCTTGGGCTGTCTTTCCTGCTGAGATAGCTCAACTCTGTGCTATAGTCGTGTTTCTTTTCCGTCAATTGTGTGCCACCTCTTATCGTTGTATCTCTAGCCGCTTTCTTTTTTGGGCTGTCAGGTTTGGATGGGCTGTACTCCATACTCTTAACAAAGTCACGCTCCTTTTTGAACATCCTTTCTATCTCTATCTTGTGGGGTTATTGGTTGAACACTTATATCGCTTTTATCTTATTTTCGTCTCTGTGACTGCTTCTTCAACGCAGACGGACTTTTTGTTTATCTTATTTATTATCTTTTATCGTCGCAGTAAAACTGCCATTTACACAATTGCTGGGTATTCCTACCCTTTGTCCCCTCCACCTTTTTTTGCGTTGCCTGTACTTTAATCGCATCTTTGATGATTTAGTCACTTATGGCGCCCCTTCGTCGCATCTTCACTCGTCCTTGGCTCTGGATCAGCTGTGATGAGCCAGTACCACATCCATTTCTTGGACGCCAGTGAAACCCACAAACCTTAATAGTATGTTGATGATAAACAGCCAAAAATACATTTGGTCAAGATCAGTACACTCACTGCCAGGGCCCAGGCTCTCATTCAAACCCTTCCTTTAGCCTCCCTACTTTCGTTTCTGATTTACATCACCTTGAGGTCGTTAACGTTCACATACATGCACGCATTTGCTTACACAAATACATTCAAAACCCACTCACCTTTAGGGTGAAATAAAATTTAACTGCTTCGTCATTTCCCTTCTCATGTTATCTTTGGTTATGTGGTCCCCATTGCTTAAAATACATTCAACCGATCACGATATATGCATCCGCCCACCGCATCTTCCCGCTGGCAGCTTACCCAACATGATTCCTGGGGTCATCCCGCATCGCCTCGATATCAGTTTTAGTCGAATCGATCTATCTTGAGCCCAACAATTGATTTGGGGTGCCAATTGTGGTCATCTCTTCGGTTCCTCAGAGTGATTCGCTGCTCCAAAGGAGGCCTTATGACCGATGACTTCATGAATTTCATAGGGGTACTACGCTGGTTGCTCAACTGTCGATGTTAGACCACTGATGCTGACACTTTATCAGCTAAACCTACCTGGCGACACTCTAGACACCTTACCGAGATCCCTCGAAGACGTTCTCACTGTTCTCATTCGCGACGTTCTGGTGACCGTACAACATCCGCGTGTGTGAACAATGCAGTTAAATGTCAGAACCGCCACGACGAAAGCTGCGAAAGAAAGAAATCATTAGACCCTCTGCGGGATAACAAGGTAGACATTGCAATTGTTATATTGAGCAAAGAGACAAAGACCCACAACCTGTTCCGCTCGAAACTGGGGTTATTGTGGGTGAGAGTTAACTTTACGGTGGATTGAGCTGATACGATGTTTTGTGGAAATTTTATTTATTTATGCAGCAATATTTATGTTCGAAACCGAGTTGCCGGCTTTCGAAGGTCAGTTGTATCATTGCCCCTGAGGTCCGAGATATCAAAGTGAAGGATTTTGAAGACCGGGCCTATTCGAATACCTAAAATTCCAAGTTGTTGACAAGAATGCTCAGCGAGCAAGTAATAATGGGACGTAAGAAAAACACAACCTCGAGTGGTAAGTCCCGACTTTCGATACTTGGAATTTAGGTTAGACTCATATTTATTTCGTAATTTTGCAGGAAGTCGGAGTTTCGGAGTGCAATCTGGCACTGGTGAACAGAGGTTCAACCAAAGTTGATCCATCTGCACGTTGACCATAGCTACTTGCTAGTTTCCTTAATCAACCTCAAGTCGTAGTCTGTCAAAACAACAACATGAAAGGTACCTCAATATCCGCCATATGTAGAGTACGCTAACAAAGTAATCTTTTAGAATCTGATGCAGACCATGTTGTCGAATGCGATATTCAAATTCTTCGCTTACGAGCTGAAATACGCCGTGTCCAAACCCTCAGGAATTCATATTTGCCAATCTCACGTCTCCCTACAGAGATTTTATGCAAGGTATTTGCGTGTGTTCGTGACATGCCCGAGACAAGGTCCTTTCCTGCTACACCTCACGTAAACATTCTCCGAGCTTGGGTCAAGTCCATAACACACGTTTGTCATCATTGGAGACTTGCTGCTCTCAACTGCCCGGAGCTTTGGTCCTATCTTGAGTTCAACAAAGATCCGCCTTCATGGATGGAGTTACAACTCAAGAGGTCCAGGAAGGCCCCTCTGTCAGTCATATTCATCAGCCCGCAAGGGGACAGGTGCGAAAAGGTCTTGCTTAGTGCGCTCAGTCAACCTAGTCGGCTACATTCCCTGAGCATTCTCGGGGCTACAAGTGACACCATCGAAAAGTACATGAAGACAGTTCGCAGAGTCCACGCGCCATTCCTTCAAAGACTGCAAGTCATTGAAAAGTTTCAAGAGGGTATATGGTATAGCCCGAGAAACATGTCACGCAAACAGCTACCCCCTGACATTTTTTCAGGAGGTACGCCCTCCTTACGGGAAGTAGAGATTTATGGGAACCCCGTGCCCTTTACGTCTCTCATATTCAAGGACCTTTGCATATTAAAGCTCAAGACACCACCATCAGCCCTTGTTTCTCTTCCCGACTTTATCGACGCATTGCACCGCTCTCCTAATCTTAAGGAGCTTGACGTTCACTTTTCGATTCGCCAAACCTTGTCCTATTCACCCAAGCCACGCTCCATCATCCTTCCCCATGTCGAGAGGCTACATCTAGAGGCCACTTTACCTAACTGCCAGGCTATACTCAAACACCTATCACTTCCCATATCCGCAAAATTAGGTATCGAGCTCATTGACATCAACGTCGTGGCCGACCTACCAATAGACCCAGAGGCTTACTCCGACACCAAAAGCCTTATGTCTGCCATCGAGCAAGCCTGGATGTCCGAACCTCTTGCATCAAACAGTGCGACTGACAAAGGAGCACTGGCAATTCGGTCGCTCGATTATGACTTGAATTCTGACGAAGATTCTTTTTCAATCCGCGTTTGGCTCGATAGTCGACAGTTAACCTCACTCCATAGTTTCAACCTCAACAGCGACAATGCACCATTAGAAATATTTAGCCAAGGGTTTAGCAGCCCAATTGAACACTCCCCTGAGGTCTTCAAGGAACTGGCCTTGGATCACCTCGAGTCGGCTTGCATTCGAACGGTGTCACCGCTGGTTTGGCACTCGTTTATGATGCTTCCTTCTCTGACGTCTCTGGGCGTGGATGGAACCAGCGCGGCGACTTTTTTCAGCCTGGTATTGGAGGACAATTTATTACGCAGTAACAATGCCACTTTAGTCCATCCGACCTTACAGCCACCCGCTAAGAACAAAAAAATTTGCGCTCCATCAATCCGTTTTCCGAACCTTGTCAATCTCAGCTTTAGCGAAGTTGACTTTGGGCACTCATCCTACGGCTACACCACACCTGGAACATGCGAACAAGTCCCAATTGACTTTGGTGACGATTTCATCGAGTATCTGAATCTTCGACGAGGACACCACACACCAATCGAACGGGTGCACTTCAAATCGTGCATCAATTTCACCACGGCGTATCACAAGGAGGTTCTGGGAATGGTGAAGGATGTCGAATGGGATGGGAAGGTAGACGTAAGGCATTATACTCATCTTTCAGATGAGGATGATCTCAGATGCCAATATTGCGGTCAGAATGACGATGGCGAGTGTGTGGCTTTGAAGTGCATATTCTTCTAACTCAACCCATATTTGTATACCTTCGAAATGCTGAACATTTGCACTTGCCGAGGCCCAATTTCCGCGCGCCAATGCAGGTATAAGCGGAGAAAATAAGTCTTCACACCTTGTCCCAGCAGCATACGGGCTTTCGGACTCTTTACAGTCGTTTGCATATTGTTTCGCAGATAACAATTTCTGAATCCTTGTTTATTTGGATATTGATTGACACTGTTCCGTGCATACAAGGGATGATGACGATCTGGTGTATTCTGAGGATGACTACTGTGAAGAATGTGGAGAATTTGGCTGTAATGGAGAATGCAAAGATGACTGAATATCATAGAGTACTTTGATTGACATACAGGACGCCCAATTTACAGGACATAGCCAAATTTACCCCTTATGATACTAGGGTGATATTATTCTCTCTTATCTTGTCTTATTACCATGGCACGATCTTGAGTGACTTTCACATAATTTTACTCATTTATTTTGGCATCAAAAAAAAGTTTCGACTCAATACAACAAAAAAAGTAGGCCTTGCCCGGAATCGAACCGGGGTTGCAGGAACTTCAAGTGAGCAACAGATGTTTGCACACATCTCAAAATCCTGTGTGATAACCGCTACACTACAAAGCCGATACTGCTGCATCAGTAACGAGGCATATGGCTCTCCCCGCATAATACCAATTCATACCGCGCACAACCCAACACATGCTCCCTTGAAGCACCTCGAGTCACAGCACGCCTCTAATCTAACCAGTACTGGCGTAGATAACAGGTTCTCTAAAACATCATGAATAATGAAGGATGGAGGAAATCAGGTTTCAGAACGATCCAAGAGATCGAGCCCACTTTCAATGGATGACGGTCCAGACTCCAAAGCTTCCTGCCGTCGAATTTCTGCTAGGTATATCGCAAATTAACGCGATTGTTTTGGGTAACCCGCAGTGAGACATATTGAAACAGACCCAACGAGATAATGAGGTATCAAGTCTATGTTACTGAATAATGAAAAGGAAAGGAGGTGTACAAAGTTACATTACTGTACAACACGACACAGATAATCGCTGAAGCGAAGAGAAAGAATAAATAAAGCAGCCCCCAAGGGATCGTTGAAAACAGAACGCGACCTGAGTCCATAAAATACTGGTACTCTTGCATGGGCTGCTTAGCATCTATAATTGATATCATAAAAACATAAAGTATGGTACGGAAAGTCTAGTGGTGTTGGATAAGGGGGAAATGCGCGTAGAATGAGACATACAAGGAGATGATAGTTGGGGTAAGGTTCGAAAAGTATGTGGATAGTTTGACTATCGATGAATGATGATGATGATGATAATGGATGGGCGGGTGGGCCGGGGGATCGTGAGTGTCCAGAAAATGCGTGATAAATCATAGTGGAATGTAGAGCGAATAGATAATAATCGAAAGCAATGCGATGATGTAGAATGATGGATAGTGAAGACGGAGTGCGGAAGTTGAAAAGGAAGAGGAAAAACAGAGAAAACCAAGAGAAAGAAAGTCGAGATAAATTTCATTTCAATATCCGTTCCATTCTTTCCAGGGCAAGGTCCACGCCTCGGATCAGGAGTGTCACTCGTCGCGGGAAGACTGGTTCCTTGGCCTTGTCGTCTCCGAATTCGTATCCATTCTGTTCTTGCAGAGCCTTTTCGAGCGCCATTGGGAGGCGTAGAGTAATGCGGGTGAGCTGAATTGTAAGCCTGGATCGACCGATGATGTCAAAGTATGAGAGCTGTCGAAAAGCATGCTGGAGTTCTAGTAACCGTGTTAGCTCCGCGTGGAGAGCATAAATGCATGTACGACATGCTACAATGCAAATTTTGTCAGAGAACCCTTTTCAAGACAATCTACGGAGAAAAACTTACTCAGGGCTCGTTCCCGGATGGCTTGAAGTGTCATAAGGACGGAGTCGATGCCTTCTTCACCGAGCTTAATTGATGGATTAATGTCATTGATGGCCTCTAGATAAGTGGGGAAGATACATTAGCACAGTAAATGGCCAAAAATTGCCACGAGAACCTACTTAGCAACGTCCTGATGACCTCAAGGTCGCCATCTAAGAAATCATTGAAAATACCGACCATGACGCCTCGGAAGGTGTCCTCAGCAGAGCCAGTTCGGTATGTCGAAAATAGATCAAAGTTCGCCGAGGGAGTGCGGTTATCATATAGTCTCCGTGACGAAGGTTTGCTGAGGACATCGTATGCCACTGCGACCTTTTGGAAGGCGTGTGTTGCGTCTGGGTTATCGGGAAATTTGCTGAATTGGAGACATATTAGTTACCTATCGCGTGCGAGGTAAACTGCAGGCATAACGCACTCTGGGTGGCATGCGCGGCTGCGGGCAAGATAAGCACGACGAAGGGCCATTTTGTCGAGTGTCCCGGACCTGGAGACGCCTAGAATTTCGTAGAGATCATTGTTTGACAGAATGGTTTTTACGACTTTGTCGGATTTTTCGTCGGAGTCATGGGGTGAGGCTTTTGAATTGGGTGCAGGAGATTTTGTGGCAGAACCTGATGGTTCTGCAATCCAAGTGAGATACTTCCGCTCATAGTTCTCAATGTCCTCGTCCTCTTCCTCATCAATTGGCAGATGGAAGTACGTGCTCGCTGTTTTTCACGATGAGCTCAATGTTTACACTTTTATAGGACCCGTTACTTACCTGTTGAAAGAGCGTAAGAGAACATGTTTCAAGCGCACATTTGTTATGGGAGAAAAGAAAGAAAAGACTCGAGATAACATTCAATTCCACCAACATGTGATTTCCATAACAGTTGCTGATGTAATCATTGACGGTCCGGACAGGTTCAGAGGCAGGTGAATTTCGCCTGTTTGCTTCTTTCATCTGGACCTTATGCCTAGGAGCTCCTGCTAAGCATGTTAATAGCACTTAGGACGACCAGAACATCGAACTCGGGTCTTGATATTATACTAAATGTGAGTGGTATTTCTATGGACCATTCGAAAACAAGAAGATGAGAATATCACGCAATTTGAAAGGAAGTCTAAACCCTTCTTCATGTTGCCACGACTTTTTCTGGTTTTTTTCTGGTATACTGGCCTAGCGCAAGGAACCATTGGAAGCTGGGGGTCAAGAACGGAAAGCTGAACTTCTTTTGGCGCTTTTTCGCCGATTTTTATCATGCCATACTTGCAGAGAGGACAACAATACTGATAAATTGCTGCTCTTAGGTTCATTTTACTTATTCGATACGCTTGATTTGATATTGTGTTGTCGGCTATGAGCTCCTGATATCAAAGCTTGGCTACAGTTTGACTGGCAGTTTCATTGAAAATGGAGGCAAAATTTCCTACAAGCAACGTGCTGCACCGGCGGTATAAACATTCAACCCAAACCCTCAATCCACGGTCTCCTTCTCAACCGCGTCTGCCAACTCGGCGAGCGTCTCGAACCTCCAAGTCCATTTCTGCATCCCATCTGGATCCTTATTGCACGTCACAGCGCTCTGCCTGTCTATCCAAACACTGCGGATGCCAAGCCCACTTGCTGGAACGTGATCATGAGGCAAACTCTGAGCGACTGACAAAGTCTTGCTCCTAATGTAGTCCAGAGACTCCCCCTCGTTCGTGAACTTGAACAGGCTTGGGTTGTCGCGAATGTAGCCCAATGCTGTTAGGAATCCACCAACAGCGGGCTTGTAGCACCCCGTGTCCTGTGCTGTCAAAATTAAGGAGAAGGGCGATTTAGAACCAGGGGTTTCTTGTGGATGCCAGTACTGGTGAGGATTGTCTGTGGGACGGGTATACTTGGCCAATTTCGAGTCGTAAAAGTCGTCGAGTGCATGTGTGGAGGGATACCCCTCAGACAACAGGGCATGCGTGTACCTGAAGGACTCTCTGTCCACATTGGAAAGGACGATAAGGTTGAAGTGCTTGGCTAGCCTCTGAAGCGCCTCGCTGGAGTCTGGGAAGATGGGCCATTGCGGAATGGAATGGCCAAACTTGGTGTGCTCGTCTAGGTCGGACTCGTCGAGTGGAGCTGACGCACCGGCAGCACTTGTCTCAGCGTCTGGGGTGTGCAGCGACGTCGATGCATCACTCTGCTGGACGCTAGTGGTGGCTGCTTCGATTCCAGAAAGTGTTCTGATACGCCCCTCCAAAACTTCATGTGCTTTCGCGAGGAGGGTGGAGTAGACCATAGTTGGATATTGCGCTTGGAGCTCTAGTTCTACTGACCCGAATGCATTCAAGGCTTCTTCCTTTGTCCAGTTCTTGGATACCGTGTATCTGGAGAGAAGTGGTTTAAGGCCGTTGTAAAGTCCTGTCTCCCAATCCTGATGTATCTCCTCGTCAAAACTATCCACGGCCAAGCAACAGAGGGAAACGTACAGCAAGCGTCCCATAGATGTCAAATATGAGGTACTTGTGGTCGGTGAGTTTGGGTGTAGAGTCGATGGATGACATTTTCAAACTAGTTGAGGTAGTATGATATCAGGTCGTCTGTTGCTTTTGGGGAGCAGCAACGCCTGCAAAGGAAAAAACTGCTTTGTAAGCATGACTAAGCACCCAAAGGCTCAAGAAATGGATGCCCGATTTTGGTACAGTTAAGGGGACTTAGCATCTGGGTTAAGTATTAAAAATATGGTTTTTAGGTAAATAAATAAATCCTTAACATTAAATGTAGAAAAAACGCGCTAGCTGAATAGGTTTGACCAAGGATTGAAGTGTTGAGAGCTGCACAAATAAATTTCATGTCAAGAATTCAAAGACATATATTTTATAAGGCTAACAGCGCTATAACAAAGGGAAGAGGGTATGTGGAAATAGCTACAGTCGGGAAACGGTGCTGAAGCCAGGAGACACGCTTTGATTGATTAAGTAATCACTAAATTAATCCGTCGCGTCATCGCGTCTGCGCCAAAACCTTACGCAAAATCTCTCCCTGGCCTCCCCGGGCCCAATATACCTCGCGAAAAATCATTCCATTTATCCAATACACTACTCCAAACATAAATGGGTGCAAAGAAGAAAAAACCAACAAAAAGGCGATCACTAGCACAACAATTGGTCACTTTGAAGGCATCAGAAGCCTGCAGGAAGGTCAAGACTCCCAGCACCAAGCGTGCAATGGCCAAGGCAAAAAAAGCACTAGAAGTGAAGATTAAGAAGTCGATAAAGCCACCTAATGAAACGTACGAAGAACTGGAGCGCAACTTCAAGAATCTATACCGACGACACACACGACTGAAAGTCAGTAAAACCCAGAAAGATGAAGAGTGTCATGCTCACAAGACAACCATTGAACATGCCGAAAACACGTCTCGAAAGCTGAAGAAGAGGGTCAACGAGCTGAGCAGTGAGTTAGCAAAGGTTTATGAGATGGTGAAGGTGTTGAAGGCGGAGGGTTTTGGTGCTGAGGATAGGAGGGAGAGGACGAACCTGAGCAAAGCAAATGGACGGATGCGAAAACAGATCGCAAAATATAAGGAGCATGTCAAACGACTCCTTCGTCTTCAGCCTCGACGCTACAACCTGTTCAAGAAGGGCACCTACACACGTCAAGCTCGGGCATTAGCACGGTATATGGTTTCTAAAGGGATGGCAGAGAAGCATGTGGGTCTGGCGATTCAGGAAATTGGGCGCGTACTC